CGCGCAGGCAGGCGTTGTAGAGGTCCGCGAAAGTGCCCGGCCGAAGCCCAAGCGCCAGCTTCATTGCTCTGTTGGGCACTGCGTCGGGACCTGGGGCTTTGTTGTTCTGCAGGCTGCGTCCTGTTTCAGCAACCTCGACCTCCGTAATTTCCTCGATCTCCCACGTAGGCGCCGTTTCGTGCTGCATGCTTTCCTTGGCGCTACACGAAGGAAACAGTGTGCGAACAATATCGCTAAGTGTTTCAGGGTCCGTTGGAGAGCGGCTGCCTGCGCTTACTCGCTTTACCACGAGTCTGTAGGCCCCACCCAACGGATCCTTCAGGAAACATTCCTGTTTGCTGTCCAGGATGGCGTGCTTCAGGGTCCTCCTGGCTTGATTGAAGGCGTCGTGTGCGGCCTCGGCCCTGTCGGTCCTTCTTGACCGTTGAAGAGCTCTTCTGGCTCTGAGGCAGGTCTTTCTGAGGGTCGCTATCTCCGAGTTCCACCAAGGTACCGGCTCGTGGTCTCTACTGTATGGTTTGCGCATCAGCATCCCTGTCCTACACGCATCCTCCAAGCATGCTGCTATCGCGTCCGCGTTGGTGTTTGCGTCTGCTTCCGTGGAGCAGTGCATGTCGGCGAGGCACCTGCTCATCGCCTCGGCGTTTAGCGTCTCCTGGCGGTAGCCCTTGACTGCTCTGTTGCGGGTTCCTGGTCCTGGCCGTGTGCCCACTGTGCACAGGATTGCCTCGTGGTCGCTGGCCGTGAAGAAGTCGCCGATTCTCCAGTGAGAGCGCCGGACTAACGCGGAGCTCACAAATATGAGGTCTATGATAGACCCAGCACCAGCCCGATTGAACGTCTCCTGCGTCCCTTCGTTTAGCAGCGTAACGCCTAGCGTTGCAAAGGCATTGAGTAGGGTGTGCCCCCTTATGTTGCTGCTGGGGCATCCCCATTCCTCGGCCCACGCGTTGAAGTCGCCTGCGATGATATCGGGGTAACGGCCCCTTGCGTCAAAGGCGATCGTGTCCAAGGCATGGCTAAAGTCCGTCGTGGAGAGGCTAGGTGCTAGATAGCAGCTGTAGACCCACATTTCGCCTATACGAGCTCGGACGAAACCCGGGCCCTTGTGCACGTCCAGATTTGCCGTTTCTTTTGCACAGCCATATCGCGGCCTTGCCCGATGTGTCCGTTATCCAGTCGCCGTCGTCTTTGACTTTGTAGGGTTCACAGGAGTAAGTCCTGCGCAGCCCGGCAGTGATTCAGGTTTATCTGGATCACTTCCGTTCGCGGGGTTTGGCTACGGCTACGGCAATGTGCCCAATCTCTAGGCACTTGTAGCACCTGGGCTGCGAGTCCGTCTCCTTCACCTTGCAGATAGACCATCCTAACTTTATTTTACCCTTGCAGAGAACCGCTTCTGCGTCTCTGCTGGGCAGTCCAACCACTGCCGTCTGGGTGTCTCTGTGTGACGGACGTAGACTCCTTAATTTGACCGATTCGGCATTCACGGCTCATCGCCACCGTCCTTGTCCTCGCGCTTTCGGATAGCGCTCGCACCGCAGTCGCTTCTCCTAGAACCGCCTCAATTCTCTCTTTTATTGCCTCCGTGCTGGTGTCCTCGCTTCTGTTGAGCTCCAGAAGAGGGTTCCCGTTCGCAGTGCGCCTGACCTTGTTTACACGGGTGCTGAGGCTTTGCAGCTTGCCGTCGACCCTACGGGCTACCATCGCTAGGACTTCGCTGTAGGTCTTGCCATTTGCCTCCGCTATAAGGGCGTCCGGGCGGTGAGGCTTTCGCGCCCGCTTTTTTGGAGCAGCCTTTCTCCAGGCGGTGGTCGCGTCCTTTCCATCGTCCTTTCCAGCGCTGCCTCCCGCGGCTGTTTTTTCTCGGGGGCCTCGGTTTTTGGCATGCTCCTCTGGATTTCTCCTCTTTTTCTGCTGGGATCCCGAAGGAGCTCTTCGCGCAGACGATTGCGCTGGTGGAGTCGGGGGCTCTCCCCCGTCTAGAACCGTGCCGGGTTGGCATAGCCTTCGCCACGGGTCTGTTTGCGCCGCGCTGGTGACCATGGGGCCTTGTGTCGCGTTTCGCCAGAACTCCGTTTGAGCGGCGCTGTCCTTTTGAAGACAAACCGGAGTCTGTTGCTCCTTGCTCTCGCTGTTTCGGAGAGGGCCTTTGCATTTGTTGCACTCCGTGGGCTCTTTTTGCCGGTGGGAGTCTCCAACTCGGTTGAAGAAGATCACTGCACCTTCTTGGAGGGAATCTCCGCGAGCTGTTCTGGTCCAGTGAGCTCCTGGTCCGCTTTGGGCCTCTTAGCAGAGGCAGTTCTTTGCCCACCGGTTGGGCTGCCTGGGTCTCTTTGGCGCTTGGCCGCGTCCTGCAACTTATCATCTTCCCGCGTGGACGGCTGGCCCGCGGGCTTTTCCTGGACTGGTGACCTAAGAAGCTTCGAGCTGCTCTTGAACGCTCCGGCTGCTTCCGTACCTTTGTCTTCGTTCCTCCTGCTTAATCTTGGTGCATTCACTGTCGATACGGCCAAGTTCGCCACCGTCTCGCCAGGTTTGTTGTTGGGAATGGGATTTAGGGCCGCCAGTATCCTACTGCCAGGTTGTTTGCATTTTATACCTGCTGCCAGGTGACGTGACTGCCGGCCAATATGGCACAGACGCAGACCACGCAGCCGCCCAGTATGCGTCAGACGCTACGTGGGTTTTTGGCGATAAGATCGGTGTGCGCGGATCGAGGTTTCCACCGGTGGCCGCGAATTTCCCCACGACTTTCCGATGGAGGTTATACCGCCTCTACTCGGTCGCCAGAGCCCCGTTTCACGGTGTACCGCGTTAGCGGGGGGGTTGGCAATCAGTCTGCTCCTTGACCTTTGGCACCAGGAAGACCTCTGCCGTGCAGAAGTGGTGTCCCTCGTTCGGTCCCGGACTCCCTACCAAGGAGTTCGAGCAGCAGCCCTTAGATGTATGCTACTGCTGAGCGCCGATCGACAAGTGCAACCCGTAGCGGGTAGCAGTCGTCAGCTAGCAGCAACGCTCAAATGTAGGCAGTACATTCCTACGCTGGGTGCCGCACCAACATGACATCTACATGTAGGGTCTCGGTCTATCATGGCAGGGAGCTATTGCCAGCTTGCCCTACGATCAGCTGGGTCTGCTGACGTTGTTCAACACTGCTCAGGCCAGCTGAGCGTAATGCGGCGCAAAGCGTGGGAAGCTGGAGAGAAGGTGCAACAACAATATTTACCCGCCATCTAGAATCGCTCAAGAGAATGCTCCTTGGTGCCGCTTGGTTCCTGAGGAATCTCGATGTCAGCCTAGATGCCTTTTGGAGTTCACGGTGCCTTTATGTGCGGAGACAGGTGAGTCCCTGAGCCGCGCCGCTGTATGTGGACGCTGCTGGCCGACATTTTCAGCGGAGCGCTGGATCCCACACCTTCACTCACTGCACACACTTCTTCTTGAGTCTAATAATGTACATGTATGTATGTATGCATAAAGTATAATGTTGAATGTATAATTAGTTGTGTGTGATTGGGGGCTAGTTATTTTTTAACTTAAATAATAATTCTTTCCGAAACTGTCTAGCACTTCTTGAATTCTTAAAAATGTGTGGTAAATTATTCCAAAGCTTAACAGCCCATGCAAAGAAGTGGTTTTCTCGAGGAGTAGTGGTTTCTTGTTGGTATTATATTATTAGTTCTGGTTGGCTGTGTAAAGTTGAGGAACGAAAACAAGTAATTCGGTTCCTTGGTCGTGACTATTTTGTGGAGAAGAATCGGTTTAGATTTTTTTGGATTTTTTTGCTCAATTGCTTACTATTTTAAGTTCAGTATTAATGACGTCAATACATATACATATACAATATATATTCAGATATACAGCTATAGGGACGGCTCACATACATATTTGCATATCGTCAGCATACATCTGCACTTCACAATTAGACCAGACCAGTAATGTGACCGAAAACAGTAATGTTCCAAGGACCGACCCTTGGGGGACACCGCGCTTAGTAAATAGAAAGCCGGAGGTCTCAGACTGCTTTACAAAAAATTGAGATCGGCCCATTAGGTATGTTCTTATCAAGCTTATAGCTTGAAAAATTGTATAGTTTTTCTATTTTAGTGGAAAATGTCGAAAGCCTTACTATAGTCTAGCAGTGTATGAAATGTAACTTCCCTATTATCAGATTTCATGCGAATATCCTATGAGACTTTTAAGATTGCTGTTTTACAACTAAGGTTTTTCCAAAAGCGATGTTGTCGTGTATTCAACAGTCAATTATCGTGAAGATACATATTAATTTGTGTGGAGACTAGTAGCTTAAATGCTTTAGATAAAATGAAAGTATAGATATCGGTCTATATTCTCCCTTTGTTTTTGGTATGGGAAGTAGTTTGGCTGTCTTCCAACATTTTAGAAATGTAGAAGATGTTATTGCGGTATTTAAAATGTGTATTTTGTTAAGAGTAGCCGGGGGACAAATACTAGTAAAAATTTTGAATGTATATTATCGAGACCTATTGCACTTGATTTTATTCTTAACATGGACTGTAGGACATCACAGTTGTTGTTTGGCAATGTACGGATTGTTAGTTTAATCAGGTACTTAAGGTTGTGATTTTACAAGTGTGTTATTTAATTCACCAGCATTAATATGGCAAGCTGTCTCTTCTCGTTGTTTTTCTACTTCAATACTTGTAATATTCTTCCTGAATTCTTTTCCAGATGACTCATTATTAAATTTCTGTTGATAGAATTTCCTTACAGCTAACCAGAATGACTTATTTACTTCTATTCTGAAGGAACTGTATTGCTTATCCAAGTATTCTGTTTTGTAGCGTTTCCACTTTCTATAGGTCCTATCACACGCATTTATGGCATTTCGTATTTCCGTGCTAATCCATGGGTGAAGACTCGGCTTAGAAACTCAATGTTACTGTTAAAGAATTCTAACTGTGAATCAACATTGGGAATTGTATACAATGCTTGCCAGTTAAAAGAGTTAAATTAGTTTGAGTATGGTGGTACAGATACCTGGTCATATGAAACGATTTTACTTGCGCCATCCACGAAAAATGCGTGAAGTTAGGTTTGTGAGGATTTTGAAAAATGGGTAGGAAATGTGACATTTGTTCGCCGAAGTCGGAGGGATCATAGTTCTGCGCAGAGACTAGATTCAGTGAAAAGATTACTGTTGAAATCACTGGTTAAAGCAACATTTTTGTAAGTCCCTGTTAGGGCAGTCAAATTGGCAATTAGATCTGAGTAGCAAGTAGTACGATTTGGTCTATAGGCAAAGCCAATAGGAATGTATTAGTTCCTCGTACTTCTACAAATAAGTATTTTATTGCACTCTCTAACGATTGCTGATACATAAATTTTCATTTAAATTGTTTACGGACAAAATGGCAACACTACCGGCATGATTTACTCTATCAGAACGAAACAGATTGTAATCAGCAAAACGAATATATGAAATACTAATATCGGACGTGAACCAAGTTTCGGAAACACAGATGATATCGACTTTTGAATTTTCGAAAAGGTACCTGAACTCATCGATCTTATTAGTCAAACTTTGCGCGTTTATGTGACATACTTTCAGACCAGTTGTTTGTTTATAAAGAATTCTGATAAATGCATGGCTGTTAAGGTTTTAATTAGGCTCGATTCAAGGCAAAAGTGATAACAATATGAGTATTTTGAATTGCTAAGGCCTGGAACAGCACACAGAACCATACATAATATAACAAAAATACGAATTGCAATTGAAAGTAAATTTAAATAGAGCTAATAATACTTTAAAATTAACATTTAGAACATTTAGACGAGCTGCATTAACGAAAAAAATAAGGTGTCGCTCCTTCCTTCGTTGAGTCAGTTTCAGCAGGTGTTTTATGCAGATCAGGATTAATGTCGTAAAGGGCCTTCATGTTGTCAATGTATAGGACCTTATTACTGCCCGTCTTCTTTACGTGGACTGTTGCTCGACGAGTAAAGACAGCCGATAGGACCTTCAGACGATTCATGTACATGGCTGTTTTAAAAATTTGTTTTAGTTAACTGTTCGTTCAGATAGATTGGAGTGGGCGAATCTATACCAACGTAACTTAGACAAGCTGGCTTTTCGTTTCACGCCGTAGTGGACCCACGGTACGCATCAGGTTGTCTTCAGGTCTTATCTTCAGGTTTATCGAACTTGATCATTATTATGGGGTCAACAATAGAATGACCGTTTCTAGGGGGTTTCATCCGGAAGATATCTCGAAGTCTCGGGGTAGGAGTAACTTTAAGGTTTAAGCAATAGGTGTGAAATAATGCCTACACACCTTCGCCTTGATTAAATGGTACCCCATGAAGGCGGAGATCACAAGCTACCCTTTCATTTTTCTGAAACTCAGATGCAGATTTTAGGCGGGTCTTGCAAGACCCGGATTTCCGCGACGCCACTCTCCAAACGCTGAACTCTTTTAATGAGTTCCGACATATCACAGTTAATAGCGTCTAGCGTAACAGTAATTTTGGTCGTGATGCGATTCTCCAGTTCAGCCATATGGGTTTTAAAAGAGTCAGTTTGTTCAGCAAGCTTCTGTCATATTTTTTTCCAAAGCCCATCTGCTGGAGGACTTAACTCAGTGGAAGTTTTTTCCAGGTTCTCTTAGCTGGCGGTGGTCGCATGCTTAGGCAGTTAGAATTTAAAAATGGTTATATTTGATGAAAAATAAGTTAGCTGCTACAGCGTGAACTCTTTTAACAGTCACACTTAAGCGGTGGTGTGATCGTGCAGTGTGAATGGCGACAACAACTGACCTGGTTCATTCTAGTTCTTGGCTTTGTAGTGTCACGCTTTCTGGACTCAGGAAAGAGTTTTCCGCCTTTTGTTTTTCAACCCCTTTGAGTGGTCTTCAGTGATTTGAGTTATTGTTTGCGAAATTATACATTTTCAGATTGTGCTCATTTGAGTTTAAATATTTTTGCGCTTGGTGTTTTTTCTTTATCCGTCTTCTACCAGGGAATAAGGGGGCCGATAGAGCGGTCAACAATGGGCAATTGTCCCGAGGACTCTAAATCTGGACCCACAGTCCAGTCCGTATGGGATATTATCGCATACACAACTAGATCCCAATCAGGAAAAATATAGTATGGAGAAATTTGGAGCACACCGATCCCAAAATCGCGGGGAATTCCAGGCTGAAAAACAGGCCTCTCAGGAACAAATAAGGGTCGATTGACACACCCTATTGATGATTGGATCGGTTAGTGCATGCGGGCTGGATTTCTGGATTTGATGAATAGCAGCTTCGACAACGTCGTCAACGGGTTCAGTTGTTTCAGGGAATTGAAGGGGTCGAGCAAAATGATCAGGGCTTTCCAGCGATGAGCTTCTGGCAAAATTGTGGACAAAATGATGCTCGGAACTCCTCGTTTTTGTCCCACGTGGTTCCCCAAGAGATAACGAACTGCGTATAAAGCCTAGGATTTGCGCTTACACAGGGTAGTAATAAGGGTCAGGGATAAGAATAATACAAGTTGGGAAGATACCAAAGCGCCGATTCCGGATTCACTTTCAGAAAAGGATATTACAGGAATTACCCAGCGATTCCAGATGGTAGACCGACAATCGTGCCTTTCCAAAATGTGCCTTTGGACGATAGGGGCTTTCATTTTTCAGGCCGAGGATATCCTCTTTAGAATAGAGCATTTGCGAATCGAGTTTTTACTTTAGAGCACCTGCTGGAGGAATAGAAGGAAGCGGAAAGGGCATTTGGTCCGGAATATGGAAATGGATACGGCCGAATCTCTGTGGTACCCCGACCATGACATGATGGCAGATATGGAAGAGACGACGAGAGAACACCATGATTGTAAGATTGATTGAAACAATGAAATGTTGAAACTGTCAGAAGTTTGGACACTTTCTTAGGCAATGGTTCTTCACCAAAGTACGTCCGTTTTGGATTGGCAGACACGCTGACAACCTATTGCCCCAATTGCAAGCAGGGAAACTTTTTCCGGAACGCAGTGTCAGCGGGATATCAGCGTTCCAAGTCCCCGAGATTTTAAAACCAACCAAACTTAGGATACCGAAAAGGATTCCTAAAAACGAACGATTCAGGCCGGAAAATTCCAGTTAACAAGGCTTACATGTTCCTACAGGAAAGAGTACGGTGATACTCGTATAAGGAGGTACGGGGTCGTTTTTTAAGGAGAAAAAGCTGGCTGGCATGACGGTCATCTCAAAAAGGGTGAAGACAGCCATAGAATGGTTTAGAAATCGTAAACCTTACTTGCAAAAACCATAGCAGGATAAGGGCAAAGAAGATCCGCATCTATATGCGATAGTTCAAGTGGCAGGATAAGTGGTGGGTTCTGGTCAATAAATTGAACAACTCATGGCGACCATTTCACGGTTCGGACAGTAATCTTGGGTGCCCACTATGTCTTTATGTCCTACATTGGAGCCAGAGCTGGACCTGTGAGTGGACTTTTGAAAAAGTTTTAACGTAGCACCGAAATTTTTGGGAATCGTGAAGATCTTAGACACCCCATAAGTGGAAAAGCCGCCTAAGACGACCGAACCAAAACCTCAGAAGCTGAATGCAGAACAACAGCAGTTTGAGGTGGTCCGAAAACGAGATGCTCCACCACAGACGATCACCACAGACAATCACCCCAGTAAGGAAGCCAAGGAAGAACCGCGTAAGATTGAGTGTATGAGTCATACAAACTTTAAGAAGAAATTTTTTGTCCAATGCAATGCTTCGGAAGAAGCGTAGGAATTTATATTGTATTTTTGAACGTTGATGCATTAAGAGCAGTACAAAAAAGTGGCCCAAACAACACCAAGCACGTGCTTGTTACGCGCGGGCCCATTTTTATTTCGGGCAAATACGGTTCGCGAGAAAGGTACATAGAACAAATAAATACAGAACAAACAAGGAAGAGTGGGCGTGTCAAATTTTTGTATTGACGAGACCAATACATTTCAGTTAAAATTTTGTATCTAGCATGAAAATTATGCGCGTCACAGGTTTGGGCGGTTTGTGGGCGTTAAAGTGGGCGTGGCAAACTTTTTTTATGTTAATCGATAGGTATTGATGAGAACAAAATATTTCAGTTAAAATTATTATTCTAGCATCAAAACTGTAGGAGCCACAGTTTTGGGCGGTTTGTGGGCGTTAGAGTGGGCGTGGCACTCTGCTGAAACAAACTTGCGCTGCGTAAGAAGCTCAGGAATCTGCACGCCAAATCTCAGTAGCCTAGCTCTTATAGTTTCCGAGAGCTCAGCGTTCATCAAGACAGACAGACGGACAGACGGACATGGCTAGATCGACTCGGCTTGTGATCCTGATCAAGAATATATATACTTTATGGGGTCGGAACCGCTTCCTTCTGCCTGTTACATACTTTCCGACGAATCTAGTATACCCTTTTACTCTACGAGTAACGGGTATAAACATAGACCAACTAAGACTAAAGCAAATGAGCTTAGAGTTTAGTTTTTAATACAGGGATAGAAGTTGAGGAACAAATTAAATGATATAGGGTGTTATAATTATTAGAAAGAACGCGAACGGGCTCGTGCTGACTAAAATTTGATGAACATCGTGGCAAGTTAATAGGATAAAAGTTTCGCATTAGTCTAACAGGAACATTGAAAGTTAGGCGGCTTTCAAAATCTATGGAATCAATACCGCCTCTGATAAGATTATTCATAAAAATAGTACCAAGCATAGTTCGACTTAGTAGAGTAGGAAAATTAATTAAAAGCAATCTACTCGAGTAAGAATGCAACATGTAACGTAACGTAAGGCAAAAAGAAAATAATTTTTGCCGTACCCCTATAGAAAGTCATAACGTTGCACTTAAGATAGTTTAAGTTCAAGAGGTTGCAGGAGAAACAATGAAGAACGCCATAGTCGAGTACCTCGACAATCAGATACCCGTTACTCAGCGAAAGGGACCAAGGGGAAAAGAAGATATGCAAGCATCAAAGCGAGATTGAAATGCGCCACCTACCCGTGATCTCAATATATGGTTATGTGGGCGGTAGGCAGATTTAAGCGTTATAGTGGGCCTGCCAAACTT